AAAACAACTGGTTGGTGTTTCATGATGCTTATAAATGTAGGAGTCCAGATTGTCTCCCATTCCATAAAGCCTGCTTGTGATTTAAAAGGCCATGCTCCACTGGATCTTAGGCTGGGCACATCTGAAACGACAGCACATTTCTGATGCAACTGGAAACTCCAACTTTTAGCTGTACCCCAGGAGTAATAGTAAGTACTTCATCAAGCCCAAAAGAAAGTCCAGAAGTTAGGAGAAGTGGGGTCCTGGGGAGACAAAGGAACAGCACAGATGACATCAGGCTAGCAATTGGTGTCTGCAGTCCCTATGTTTCCTTCCTCCTCCCTCACTCCCACCTCACCACGCCTCCTATCTTGGGCACAGACTTTGCTCTTAACTGGCAAGATAATAAGTACTTATGCTGATTTAAATACTAAAACATATTTGAAACCCTATGAAATTAATATCAAAACACCAAGCTAGAAGTCAAGACACCTAGGTTGTTCCTGCCTTCCCACCACAGCAGGCTCTATAAGCTTTGTCAAGCTACATCCCTTCATCCGTTATCTTAGTAGCTGAAATCAATGGCTCATTCTAATTTTTTTTAATTTGTCATTTCATTTGGGGGGGCAGTTTTAAGCACTCATATAAAAAGAAGAAACTGACAGGCAATAGGTATGATTTGAATTGATCAAATCACATCACATAAACAAGTTACCAGCCCCCTCTGTTTATGTTATTAAGTCTTTGCACATATGACCTTCTTTTTATTTATTTATTTATTTATTTAGTCTTTTTGAGACAAGGTCTCCCTGTAGCCCCAGCTGTCCTGGAAATCACTATATAGACCAGGCTGGTCTTTTATTTTGTGTATGAGTCTTTTGCCTACATGTACTAAATATACCTATGTTGACAATGGCTGTGGAGGTCAGAAGAGGATGTTGAATCCCTGTAACTGAAATTGCAGATGGTTATCAGACACCATGTGGGTGCTGGGAATCTCACCTAGGTCCTCTGAAAGAGCAATCAGTACTCTTAACCACTGAACCATCCCTTCAGCCCCAATGTATGATCTTCTTATGAGATGGCAAACATCTGAAAAGAGATTCCACAGTGGAACTTGATCCAATGCATACATATTGATGGCACCCGCCACCAAGATGAGAAAGGATAAGGGCTGAGTGGAGAGAGACTGAAGTAGCTCTTGAATGCTGGATTTCCACCACCATCCCTGTGTGCCCTGCACACATCATCCAGAGAAGTAAAGAGTCTTTTTACCAGAAGGCACTTAAGGGTTGATCAGAGCTGCCTGCGAAGGGTCTGTTCTTGTGCCCTCACTTTCCTTTCTTGCTAATCTTCCCCACTTCCATCTTCAAGCCAGGCTGGGACCTCACCATCTCCTTTTCTCGTCTTCTTGCTCCCATACCCATGATTCCCAGCAGGTGGATTCAGGGCTCCTTCCCTCCCGACCAGCTCATCTTGATTATTCTTTCCTTTGTGAACTTTCTTGACTATACCCCAAGTACCTCCAAAAAAGGGACACAAAGGCACAATTATAGTCAGAAACACTGCTCACTCTTACCAGTTTGTGGTGAATAGTGTTTGGGACTGCAGTGACCTGCTGGCAGGGGAACAGGGTAAAGGTTTTCTAATGCCAATGGAAGGAGAGTGAATAGTGAAACTTTTCTGGAAAGCATTAATAATGTGGGTTGTGATGGTTTGAATGAAAATATCTCCCATAGGCTCCAAGTATTTGGACATTTTGTTCCCAGTTATTGGCACAGTTTTGGGAGGTTTGGGGAGGTGTGGCCATGCTGGAGGAAGCATATTACTAGGAGCAGGCTTTGAGAGTTCTTAAGCCTTGACGGATTTCCAGTCGCTCTCTGCTTCCTGTGACTGCCTGAAGATGTGAGCACTCCATTCTCTGCTCTGGCCACCACTTGCCACCATGCCTCCCCGCCATGACGGTCTCTGATTTCTCTGGAACTGCAAGCTCAGATAAACTCTTCCTTTTATAAGTTCCCTTTGTCACAGTGTTTCATCACAGCAAGAGAAAAGTAACTGATACATGGGTGAAGAGGCTATAAAAGGTTTAATCTATAGCCTGCCCTTATTTCTTGTATCCTACAGAGATAAAAAGAGGCTCTAGCCAAGTTTGAGTGAAAAAGTAACAGCCAAAGAGGTTATTATTTAATATGGCATCATGGTTCTAAGCAATAGAAAACAACAGCAAACTATCTTAAATAATAAGTACATATCACAATGACATTCAGGGCAACACGACCTGTAGGTTTAGCAGTGTCCTTCAACTGCCAAGATGTGGAACCAGGCTTGAGTCCATCAACTCAAGAATGGAAAAAGAAAACAGCATACATGTACACAGTGGAATGCTATTCAGCTGTAAAGAATAATAAAATAACAGCATTAGCGGAAAGATGGATGGAACTGGAGATCATTATGCTAAGCGAAGTAAGACAGACTCAAAGGCAAACATCACCTTTTCTCTAAGAAGCAAAAGGAGGAAGAATAAGAGAGGATACTGGGATGTATTAGACACAAAAGTAGGAGGGGAAGCACATGTACACACACACACATACACACACACACATACACACACACACATACACACACACACACGAGAGCATATCCCCAATATTAAAAATGGTAACTCTTCCCTTTTCCCATGCTTCTATATAAATTCCCAGGAGTGTGCTGTTTTTCTAGGATCTGATCACAGTACATGGTGTTAGGGCGGGGGGGGGGGATGTAGGTGAGAACCTAATAGCTGCCTGGGACCACCATTCCCTGCAATCCTTTTTCTCACTAGGATAGTTAGATTGCCCAGCTGTATTTGGGGGCAGGGCTCTGTGTTTGTGATAAATAGCGCCTAAACCAGCCTTCTCTGACAACAAGACTCTTTCCTAGTGCTGTACTAGAAAAGCATGAAGGTCAGAATTAGTCTTGTGTTGTTGGAAGAAGACAAGCTCCCAGACAAGGGTCCCTACATCTCTTGGTCAGAGGAGTACATGGCCTGAAGGGGCAGTGCATCCTTGCTCCTTTTCCTTCTAGGCCAGGGCTGCTGACATTAGGGAAGTTGATGTTTCGATGAAGGAGAGAAGAATCACCTCTCTGTGGGTCTTGCCCTCATGTATGAGGTACCAGATCATTAAGAAGGTCAGGGGATCCACAGACCCTCACTAGCACCTTCCTCCAGGAACAGTTCCTAAGCATCCAATCAAGAAGAATCAGTGCGAAGTGGAAAATTAAAAACAAATAACCTCTCAAAGAGAAAAGGGTCCTGGGGAAGGACCTGGAAACAAAGGACATGCATGGCTGCTGACTCCAAAATCTTCAGATTGTGTGCATGAGTCAGTGCCTGTGACTTCCAGGACAGGAATTTGACTTGACTAATCATCTAGTAGTAACTTTTACTCCTGCCTCTGAACATCTGAGATCCAACAAACAAACACGTGTCTTAGGAACGTACTTTCTACCAGAAACACTGGATATGTGTACTGAGTAACCAGAAAACACTCACTCTGTAACACCCTGCCCCTCCACATTGTCACAGAACACCCCCACAGAAAGAAAGTGAAATTGCTGTTTGACCAACATAAACTCGTGGGTGTTTCCAAGAGTTGGGAATCCTGCCAGATGTAACTGTTAGAAGGGAGCCCAGCCCCACCTGTCCCCCTGCCTTCCCCCCATCCAGCCTGTGTGCTGAGATCCTTATTTGGTGATGCTTCTACCTGGGTCCCTGGACTCAGGGCCAGTCTATCCAGCTCCAGCGCAGGACCACAGTGGAGGAAGCAGCTGTGGCTGACGTCCCTTCCCAAAGAGATGAATGGAATTCCAGGAAGCTGGTGTCATGCTGGCTTGGGGCACTGGCTTAGAGACCAGGCTTAGGGACAGAAGCATTGGGGCAACCCTGCTCATGGCAATGTGTATACCCACAGAAACGTAACCCACACCACGGTTTCGGGAGCCGAAAAATGAAAAGAACGTTTAGGGAGGAAAATGGGAAATAAAATAATAAGCAGAGAGTAATTTATTGCTCTATGGGTCAGTTCTGTAAATCCTTTAAGACCCTGGAGTCAGATGGTTCGGCAAATTCTCCATCCAGGAGTCACGTTAAGAAGCACGAGCGGGCACAAAAACTGTTTTTCAAGACACAACTTCAGTTTTGGCTTGAGGGAGCTGAGTACGAATTAGTTACCTTAAAATTGCATTAGAAACTGTAGGGGTAGCTTTGATCAGAATACGCATACCGCCCCCAAGCGGCAAGCCAAGGAAGCGTAGTAGACTGGGGAAAGTGAACTTCCGCAGCGACTGTGAAAGCGTGCCCCTGGGCAGTGTGAAGGCTAGCTCTGTGCACCATCCGCCAAACTGTCACCCTTAGGTGGTCACACGGAGGGCAAGTTTGCGGGGCAAGAGAGGAGATTGGAGTACAGAGGACACGGGGTCCCCGACCAGGATAAATGGATGAGGGTCAACTACCTCAAGGGTCCCATCTACCCAGTGCCCTCTTCACTTTTATTTCTAAACTAAATGGTCTCCATCTCAAAGTGTCCCTCCATGTTCAAGACCCGCAAGAAGACCTGCTTGGCTGAAACACTCCCCCATCCCGTGCCCCCCCCCCCACCGCCCGTGCAAAGGTCTTGGGTGTTCCCCAAAGGCGTAGTGGCTGGAGACGCTCACGCGGAACGCCTTGGGCCCGCGTGGTGCAGGATCCTGAGTTCTGAGCCCGCGTACGCCAAGGCTGCGTGGGCGGGCACCTATTTTTCTGAGAAGTTCCAGGACTTCTGTAGCCCGAGCCTGGTCTCCCCCTCCACTTGTTAGCTGGCGAGCTGCGCGCCAGGCAGCGGGGGGGAGGGGGGAGCCCAGGCTGCCCCCCTCTGCTTCCTGCCCGCGCGCCCATTGGCCAGGGCAATTCTCAGGAATGCAAGCGTCCCTTTAAAAGCGCGCGGCTCCTCCGCCGAGCCAGCCACGGCACCAGAGCCAGCCGGCCACTTCGGAGCTCCTGTGAGCAGTCTCGGAGCAGCCTCCGACTCCCGCCGCGGTCTCTGGGAGCCCCGGCCGCCCCCAGCCTCTCCAGGACTAGGCGTCCTTCGCTGCACCTTTGCCACCACTCCCGGCCGCTGCGCCCACGTCCACACAGGTAAGCCACTACCCGCCGCCCAGCACTTGCTCATGCCTTGGGGCTGCAGGCGGTCAGAGAAACCCTCATACCCTTCCCTCCCCTTTGGCCTGTCCTATCTGCCCGGTACCTGTCCCTTCTAGCCGCTGAGAGAGATCTTTTCATGAGGTTCCAAAGCCCATTCTCTCCAGCCTTGGGGTTCACAAACAATTCTTCAGGACGGCCCAAGATTTTCTCACCCACCAAGTCTTTCCAGGTTGCCCCTGCCCTTTGTCCTCCTTGTCCCCAAACACATTTTGTTGTCTTGGCTGAAGGACTCTCCAAGGACAAGCCCCAGGTCACTGGTCTTTGTGCCTCTAATCCTGGAACACCACAATCCCCTGCCTCTGGCGCGCTGTTTTTGCCGGACGCCCTCTGGAAAAGTAAATCCTGTTGCTTTTGTTACCCGCACCTGTGGAACCAAGGGGGCCATCCTCACTCACACACACACACACACACACACACACACACACACACACACACACACACACACACCTGCACACCTACATACACATAAATAAATAA